AATAAATTTAAACTTATAATAAAATTATTTTTTTTTTATTTTTTTTTTTTAAAAAAAAAAAAAATTTTTATTAATTTTAAAAATTTATTCTATATAAATATATTTTTTTTTTTTTTTTTTTTTTTTTTTTTTTTTTTTTTTTTTTTTTTTTTTTTTTTTTTTCTGAGGCTGTTCCTTAGAGCCCCAGGGTCACTTCCGATGCCCCTGGTGGTTGTTGCTATATGACACCCATATGTGTATACTGTCATCATCATCATTATCATCATCATCATCATCATCATCATAATAATAATAGTAATAATAATAATTGTAATTATAATAATACTAACAATAATAGCAACAATAATAAACAAAAAATTGAAAAGGTACTGATAGCCAAGACTTCAGTGGGGAGAATTTCGCAGAATATAATCCAGCGTTAACACTGCTAGTTCAAAGGAGTAAGCAAACACATTTTATTGTATTAACCAATGTTCTATCTTACTGAAATGTCTTCAGGTGCAGCTGTTCTAACAGTTAATACTTCCAGTGGTACCTGTCCTTATGAGACAAAGGAATCCCCGGGCGAGCCTTCGCTCAGTCAGAAAGATGCATCCCATAAAAAACCGATCCAGCAACTTTCAGGGTTTTTTCTAGGAGTACTAGCAGCGTTAGTGGCAACTGTTGTTGCTGTTCAATGGTACAAAAAAAGGAAAAGACTATGCCAGAGCAACGACAATGACGCTCAACAGAGCGAGAGCAACAACAGAGCAACAACAGAACAACAGAGCATTCCAGAACTGCAGCGTAAGAGAATTTTTATAATATTCAAGTTTCGGGGTTTTGGCTTTTAAGGAAAGTGTAAATACTTCAGAAATGTAGAGAGGAATTTTAATGCTATGTAAATGCGAAGGACAGCTATGATGTACAGTCTTCTTTTTTCACGAATGTCTGCTTGCTCATCGCTAACTAAAAAGGTCATTTTTTTTATCCAGGCGGTTTAAATACTTTAATCAGAGATGTTACACATGAGGACCGGGAGTTTATTGCCAGTCGGCTCGACGATAAGGACCCTGATGGTAAGCTACCAGTTTATTAAGTTCGATATCCATCAGACTTTCACTTTTATTTGCAAAATATTATTTATTAGTATGATAATTTTATTGATGATTATCGAAAATAGAGCGCTATGATTGGCTAGGAGCTTCACTTCATCCCGCCATAATCACCGCGCGGTGATTATAGCATTGAAGACTAGCAGTTTTCAAAACGGCAGCCAGATTGTTGATGTTTCGGAGTCGGAAATTGATCAATAATTTTATTTTCTCGAATAATCATCAATGTAATAGACCATTTTTCAGTTGTGGACTAAGCACCCTAGCCTTCGAGTGAATGTGAGGCTAACGGTGAGCACGGTTTTGATACAAACCTCCTTTGCTTTGTTATGGAAATTGTACCTGAAAAATACTGGTTAACATAAGAATAACTTGATTTACATGACAAAGCAAGAAGGTTTGTATCAAAACAAGGTCAACTCCAGCCTCGGTTCCATACATAACTGTAAAATGGCCTATTATACTAAAACAATTAGTCGCATCAGGCCACGTGATTATCCTCGAATAGTCACCACGACTTCGTCTCGGTGACTATTCGCCGATATTCACGTCACCTTCGGCGAGTAATTGTTAAATAGTGCATTCACTATAGACCTTGTTCCGTTTTTTCGACGCCATCTTGACGAGTAGGCAAACGCGTGAGAAATTACAGTGACTGTATGAGAATCTAATGTCGAATAATTTCCGTAGAACGGCTGTTCTGAAAAAAATATGATTCGTAAACTAAGCTTCACTCCTAAGGATTCTCCTGAAAAAAATTGAGGGCGTTACATGCACTAGAGGACCTAGAACCACTTTTTAAAATTTTCTATACATTTGTCTATAAGAAACTTCCGGGAAAATTACAGACAAATATATGGAAAATCTAAAGAAAGCCTCTGGAGAAATTGAAGCACAAGTACCGCTCCAAATTTTTTTAGGACAATCCGTTGCTTTGTAGCTTTAGTTTACAATTGATATTTTTTTCAGAACAGTCGTTTTACGGAAATTATTCGACAATAGATTCTCATACAAACACTGTAATTTCTCACACGTTTGCCTACTCGTCAGGACTATTAGAGACCGTGGAAATGACGTGTTAATGGCGCAATTCGTTTTTCTGTGTCTCTCGCGGGCAATAAATTTAAAACACTGCATCGGAAACGGAAGTTCCAACAAATAGACGACAAACAATTCAATTGTTTGTACTCTGACAGGCCATAGAAATGAACTATGAAAGCTTAAACCTTAAACCGTGGAAAATTTTTGTCTATTTGTTTTTACAACAACACCATTTTTATCGTCCATGGTTTTTAACGTTTCTTGGAACATCGCGCGCGCGACAGAAAGAAAAACAAATTGCGCCATCATCATGCAGTGGAACCTCGATTTAACGAAGTGCCAAGGGACTGGGGAAATTTTCTCGTTAAATCGAGGGTTCGTTATATCGAACTCCTCCATTTAACGAATGGTCGGGAAAACTACCAAAATGTCCGTTATATCGAGGTATAGTTAATAATTAATTTACAAAACCCATCATTTCCGGATCTGAAAAATTACTGTAATAACACTTCAGTACCAAGCTATGCATAGCTACGGCACTAGAAACTCAAGAACACATAAATTTTATCGTTGTTGGTCTCTGGCATTTATCTTTTATCACATGGTGATATTTGTTCGTTATATCGAGGCAAACTTTACGTTTGGGCTTGTGGATCGTGTTCGTTATAACGAGGATTTCTTTAAATCGAGGTTCGTTAAATCTAGGTTCTGTTCCATACATTTTACTGTAGTTTTGGCCGGGCTGAAGAAAATCGTTCGTTATACCGAGAACTTCGTTATATAGAGATTCGTTAAATCGAGGTTCCACTGTAGTTATTTCAGAGGCCATGAGGGCGAGAGGAATAATTATTTTAGTAAAATCTAACTAGTTTGTTGTATTACGGTGGGGGTATGTATTTGCGTGTACGTTCGACGGTTAAAGTATTCTTCTCCAACTTTTTTTTTTAAATACTTACAACAGTATGTCTTGTACTCTTGAAGTAAATGAACTTCCTTACATATTGAACTACTGTAAACGTTTTACACTTTGTGCTCACGTGTTTTAATTCAGGATTCTACTACTGGGAGAAGGTTGCCGAGAAACTTGGAGTCGAAACGGATCGGTGGAGAGTCAATCCAACTGACAAGCTACTATCAGCGTTTGCTGAAAGGAACGATAGTACTATAGTACTAGAAGTTAATCGGGGCTTCCCAGGAGGCAGGACTGCCTCTTCTCGCCAGTGAATTGGACAAAAGGTTTCTGCAGGGGAGTTGACACGTCTGAAATAGGGGAGAGGTTTGTAGGTGCTGGAGCTTTTGTGTAGGGTCGCTTTTTGTTAAATGTGGTTTGTTTAGTGACCAGCTCCTTCGAATTCTTAGAGAGCGCTCAACCGGCATCGCAGAGGTTAGGGTTCGAAGGTATGAAAGCGTTTTAATTGGTACCTATTAAGACTTCATTTGGACAAATTGACAATTGACAATTTTAAAACTTTACTTCGACAAAAAGTGTAAATAACCTCGAAATCCTCTTGAAGAGGATGACGGTAAGGATTTTCTCGCGCAGCACTTATAAATATTAAAAGAAGTACAATGTACTAAGCTTGGAGACAAGTCGGATTCCTAACAACGCTCTGTGATCAAATATATCTCTATGATTCTATATATATATTTTTTGGTTGGTAACGCCAGAGAATGTACGACGAGAATTAATCCTGTGTTTGACATCTCCTGGTCAAAAATCTAATCTTATTTGCTGAAATTGCCAATCATGTGACTGATTCATTCAAAATATTCTTCTTGTATATTTTTTCGAAAATGGTGAAAAACAAAGGCGAGTACAATGCTGTAAAAAGCTTTTTAAAGCAAAAAGATGTAATTTGTAATGTAATTAAACATGGCCGATCTAAGCTGATCTTGCTTGAATCCATAAAAACAAATACAGTGTGCAGAACACTTTGTTAACAAAACATCGGTATTAACATAATAACCGGTATCGCAGAGGTTAGGGTTCGAAGGTATTAAAACGTTTTAACTGGTACCTATTAAGACTTCATTTGGACAAATTGACAATTGACAATTTTAAAACTTTACTTTGACAAAAAATGTTAATAACCTCGAAATCCTGTTGAAGAGGATGACGGTAAGGATTTCTCGCGCTGCTCTTGTAAATATTAAAAGAAGTACAGTATGCTAAGCTTGGAGAAAAGTCGGATACCTGACAGGGCATACTGTATTGGGTGGACTGGACTGGACTGGACTTGTAAAACGCGGACTTGTAAAATGAAGACTTGTAATACGCGGACTTGTAAAACGCGGACTAGTAAAACGCGGACTTGTAAAACGAGGGCCTGTAAAACGCGGACTCAGGATAGGCTCCTACGGACGTCTTTGTTTTTTTTTTTTTTAGTTTTTTTTCCGCGTTTGTAAATCGGATAAAACTGTTTTACTAGTCCAGTCCAGTCCAGTCCTCGAAATACAGTATGCCTCCTAACAACGCTCTATGATCAAATATATCTCTATGATTATATATATATATATATATATATATATATATATATATATATATATATATATATATATATATATATATATATATATATATATATATATATATATATATATAATTTGCACGGGCTCTCTTGCCAAGAGAAGGTGTCTAGGTTCAGCATGCTTCTCATTCCCCGTTACGGAACCTCCCTTGCGGTTTCGCACTGGAAATTAAGGATGGTACTCATGGTTGAGTACCGATCCAGCCGTCTCGACCAAAACAAGCCATTTTCCGGACCGGTTTCGACTTTACTGTCTTCTTCAGCGGATTTTACAGTTTCAGCTTGTCCGGTCGCTTGCGCGCCGTTGGACCTACTGCATTAACTATGTGTCACAACTCTTTATATACCATAAATTGACAATTACGTGTATGACGTGGGTATGGCATCAATAGATTGATTAATGAGTTGTACTCATTATCGTGCACAATTCTTTGGCGTTTTTTGTGTTCACGCGGAAAACTTTAAATCTAAATGTCTCTCTATCCTTACAATTTGAGGCTAGCTTGTGCTACTTTTGAAGTTTTGACTTAATTGCCACTAAAGAACCGTTTTTCTCTGATTGTATAAGCGGTGATGTCTCTGCTCTTGCGCGAATTTCTATTACGTATATGACGTGGGTATGTCGTCAAGACACCTTCCTAGACACCTTCTCTTGGCAAGAGAGCCCGTGACAATATAACCTAGACACATTTAAAAACAACGACGCAACGTTGCAGATTAAAAAAACATGCTTCTGATACAGAAGTGTCTACTACACGAACCTCCGCATAACGGCCACCTCTCTACAGCGGCCACTTTCTTTTTTCCCCAAGGGCGCCGTTGTGGAGAGGTTTCGACTGTAAAGTCAAACGCTGTATCATTGTTTCGAAAGGTTCGATAGAATAAATAATTTTTACTATATAGCTATGAGTTAGAAAAACGTTTCCGAAACGGAATAGGAATGTATAGTACTAAATGTACAAACTAAGATTAGTTTTGTGAAAGTTGAAGTATAATGTACTAGAAAAAATGGGTTTGGTAGATAGTAATTAAAAACGATTTTCAAACCTATGGTTGACTTGAAGTATTTTAGCATATACTGTATTTCTTCTCTGCCATCTCAGTGAGGGCCTTGGCGAGGTTTGCCAATCACTAATTCATATTAGAATATTAGAATATTAGAAAATATTTCGACGTTTATGACTGGCTCCAATCCCCCGGTTACTTCTTCGTTACCAGCAAGCGCTATCCATATTTGGAAGATCCAGGCAACATACAACCGATACGGTGGTATATTATCCCAATATAAAAAAGAAACCTCGTTCCAGGCAGCAGCTCGGCAGCCTGCCTGTTTATGCATGAGATAAACTGAAAGAGTTCACGGCTGTCAGAAGACGAAATAGCTCAATTTCAATTTCTGACCAAAACTGGACGGAAGAAATGCAAGAGTGCGCCAAAAATATTGCTCGATGGATGTAATCCAAACCTTTTGACGAGTATTTGCAAGAAAAAAAAACATAGATCCTGAAACCGCCGTGGAATGAAATGGGCAAAGTTTTGATGAAAGTCTACCAAGAGGTAACCTAGGCTCGTAACTTGACTAACCTGAGTTTACCGTTTTGGAAAAAAAGTTTTAAGTTGTTAAGGGCCCGGTTGCATAAAACCTGCACTTAAGTGCTCACTTAAGTAGGTCACTTACGAATCCGTTATGGATACACTTTTGATATAGTAATTTATCAATGACTCACTATTTTTTTAAGCTAGCCATCGATGGGTGTAAAGAAAGTAACTGGTCGTTTCGAACACTTTTAAGCCTCTGTTAGATGATTAGGGAAATTAAAATAATGTTTTACAGAGATAAAGTTTTATATAAACAGAAGAAAGTGTGTCATCATTTCACTGATTTTAAAAAAATTGACTTCTTGACTAATTAATTGTAAATGCGGAGGAATAGTAAGAAATCAAATATGGTAAGAGTAAGGTGTTAATTTGTGAAATTATGGGATTTGTCAGGATATTCTGAAAAGAGCAACATCCAAGAGGCCTACTTGCCAAAAACTAGCATTTCAGGACAAATTGTCTCCGCGATATTAGCCCAGTTATGCTCTGATGACTCCATACAAATCCTTCTAAAAAACAATTCTCTATTTTTCTTAGTCACATCAGGCTTCAAAAACAGCATAGCAGTCTCATGTACTGATTAAAGATATGTAAGGCATGGGTAAGGAGTCAATTACGTTGAGCATGGAATTGGCTAAAACTCAAAGTCACGAGTTCGAATGTTTTGAGGATAATTATTCACTGACTATCAGCACGCAGGGATGTCGGATTAACACAAGGAAGTTTAACACCAAAGGAACATAGCCTTTACAGAGCTTTAAAACACAGCATCCGCCAACACAAACTTGACTTGAACTTTGAGTAAAACTAAACAGCCTCTACCAATAATAACAAACTCTCACTTGAACTTCAGATATCTTACGGCTTCCGCGAACTTGTAAACACAGAACCTGAAAATCGACCTTCGTCACACTTGACTAAACACAGCAGTCCAGCTCGTGGGAAAAAACTTAGTTCGTCAAAAGAACTCGCTTGGAACTTGTATACCGTTTGACATAAGGTTCTAGAAAATACTAAACAGGCGAATAGTAGTAGCTTTTCGACATATTTTATGATTTCAGTAACTGATGCAAATCTGCTGACTCATGCTGAAATGTAAACATGCCCTAATTAATTATTCATGGCTAATCCAAAAACGTAGAGAACGTTCGAGAAAGTCACGCAACGCATGAAAGCAATTTTACTACGTAACACTCAACAAAGACAAAATGTCTTTTTGCAGCATTTTGTAACTTTAAATTCATCATAAAACAGTTCGAAAGGAGGGCTCACTCGTGAAATGTTTTTCAACACTCGAAGAGAAATTTCGTGTCTCTACGCGGCCACGAAATATCCTCTATTTATTCCTCGAGTAATAGCCCATTTTACAGTTGCCCGTGAAAACGAGGCTGGAGTTGACCTTGTTTTGATACAGCCCTTCCTGCTTTATTATGTAAATCATGTCTTTCTTATGTTAACTAGTATTTTTTAAGCAAAATTTACATTAGAAAAAGATCGAGGTTTATATCAAAACAAGGTCAACCTCAGCCTCACGTTCACTCAAAGGCTAGGACACTAAGCACAAAACTGTAAACTGGCCTATTAAAGACTAAACTCGAAGTGATCTCAAGATATCACGAAGTAGTCAGGTCTCATTTCGTGAAATAGTTGAAACAAGCCGAAAAGTCACGAACTTGCACGCCCAATCTTGTCCGGAAACTAGTGCATCATTTCATAACTGTTTTTCATATCCCAAACTACCTTGGGTGGCAGTAGCGCAATCGGCTAATTCCTCAACTTAGAGTCTCCTCTGATCTGACGGGTCACACAGGTGTGTCGGTTCAAACCCCGGGAAAGCCAAAATAATAATTCTTTCTTCCTCGAAAAAGTTAAAGAATAAATCAAAGAAATCGAAGTGATCTCGAGATATCTCGAATTATTTCGGCTCTCACTTCGTCAAACAGCCGAATAAAACCGAAAACCTACAGACTTTGGGGGTGGCCATTTTGCTGGTGGCTGACTGGGGATTATTTCCAGATAAGTTGGCATTAAATGGGGGTCATTTTAATAAACTTCATGAAAGAAGCATTCAGCAGTAACGAAGGGGAATTGAAATTG